GGCATAATCACCTGTATCACTAAACAATAATTTGCAATTCACAAAGTTACAAAATCACTTATGAAACCACTTAGCACTATTTAAAGAAACGCTTTCTATGTGCAAATCGTGCTTATGTTTGTATGTTTATTACAAAAAATGGCGCAATAATCATCAATTGTCAATTTCGTCATTAAATACAACACCTAATACAAAATAAATAGTACCATTAAATTTCTTGTAAAAAACTGGTTATTATGAAGTTAGTTTAAAATTTGTAAGTTCAACCGTTTGGTTTCCTATAGCGAACATAATAAACAAATAAACAAACTTCGTATTTTATATATATAGATTAATTTATTACAGAAAATTACCATTCTGCAACTGGCTTGCAAGAAACATCTGTGTCTGCTTCCCATCGATGCAGCGCCCTCTACGAGACACGACATTTTACCGAACATCGGAAAACACCATGACAGAGTCGTTAACCAAGTCATCCAGACGATATTCTGCCTCTCAATTTTCACTCAAATGTAACCCATCTAATAACGTTACACTTAAGCGACACATAGTGGACAAGAATGGAACAAGAACTAGCTTCTTAAGAACTAGTCAAAACCAAACTTGTTCAAATGTCTAATATCTTCAACATGTTACTGTATTTATCTTACTGTTAGGCGTCTAGTTCTGTTAATGAAATGTCGAGTGGGCTTTTGTCATAAAGTGGTGGCCTATGTTTTTATGTTGTAGTTTGCACCTTATTCCTAATCAAACATTTAAGTTTTCCATAAAATAGTGTGTTACGCGTTTGCTTAAACTACATTTCAAACTTGATACATAACGCTAAGTAGAATAACAAGAATAAATTGTGAGCTGAAGTAAACAAATACTGCGAGAGTGGTAATTAGTTTTTAATACCATACTGTCAGACTAACAAATGAAAATAAAAACAATTATAAGATTTGCTTGTCGTCTTCACTAAGTTCAGAATGTATTCGTACGCCATGAGACTAGTGCGTTCCTTTTTTTTTTGTTTTTGTGCTTATTGTCTTAGTAATTGAATTGTAAGGTAACACAATATGTACATGTATGAGTATACATTTTTTTCGTGAAATATTTTTCGACCTGCAGTTAGTCCTGTAAATATTTTAATCCATTAGATGCGTGTTAACAATGAACATGATATTACAATGGTATATATACATAACTACTATTATCACGTACTAGAATTTTTAAAGTACTGTTAATACGGTATGTTGTTTAAAACACAGACACAATGTCGGATAGTAAGCAATACAATCACAGACGTAATGAATAACAACATATTTATTGAACGTTTCGCAATATACACATTTTATTTTCAGCAAATTACTGCAACAAAATAGAAAGATATAATTACAAATAATCAGTTGAGTGTTAACCAAAAGCTTATGTATTCCGGTAAACATTTCCAAGGGTAATGTTAAAACTCGAAGTGGAGAGAGGTTATAAAAACCAACGAGTGAACTTGGGTATAATGTAAACCCACACTAAAAGCATTAGTAAAAATATCTATGTAGCTAGCGGGAACTATTAAAACAAGATTAACAAGCAGAAGTTATTATTCAAGCTAAGAAGATTTTGCTTGATAAGTGGACTACCTCTGTGGTTGTATCGTTCATTACTAGACTTCGTTTTCCGCTTCGTGAAGCTGTTACAAACACTATGTGAATTGTTGTGGAGTAATAAATTGGATAACCAAATTGAATTTGTGACATAATCATCATCTCCGCTTTAAATTAAAGTTGTTGTTGTTTTTTAAATCGTTTATTACATTTTTAGTTTCAAAGATAGCAAGTTATAGCGTCTTATCATCTCAAAGATTAGTTCATACTTATGTCCGCCTGGTGACTCCGAAATAAGCTTTATGGGATTATAACTATAAAAATCTGGGTTCGATTCCCCCTCCTCAATGGGAAAAGGCTGAATGCATTGTGTGGATTTACGCTTAAACATAAACAAACAAACATATAAACAAAGCTACGAAAAGGACTAGTTTTCACTAAAATATAATATATATTTTTGATCTGAGTCAATGAGATCAAACAAATAATGAGGAAGTAGAGTTTGTACATGTTCTAATGAAACTCCCTTTTTATTATGGTAGTTATGGAAAGAGAAAGCTCTTATTAACAACAGCCCAAATAATTTGCAATCATTACGTTTAGCCAGTAGACAAAGGCTATGTTATTATTACCTAGCAGTGTTAAGTAAACATGCAACACATTTACTTGGGCTATCGTGCAAAGACTGAAAGACAAATTTCTTATCAAAAGCGATTATCATTCAGTTACAAGATACGGTTAACACGTAAGATATGCAGGAAGATCATACAAAACGAACCAGAATTTAACGAATATTCGTTTTCATAATCGCTATTTTTTACACGAAATGATTCCGAAGACGCAAATAGACATCAGAACCTCTTGATTTTCGAAACATTACAATTCAGTAATGTTACTACAATATCTTTTCTTTCGATTATTTAAAAAGGAGACTTGAATTGTTATCTTTTTGTTCAATAAACTAGGATTTCCTTCTTTTTTTTTGTAAAGTTCGCTTTCTCGATTCGTTAATTTTTTTCTTTAACCATGTTTAGCTCACTCTAAACTGTAGAAATTTTAAGGATTTGTTAGTTTTCTATTTGTACAGTTCTCATATTTTGGGATATGCGAAACTTGCGTAATATCTCTGGTGAAAAATATATATATATTTAACACCTATATACAGAACCGTTGTACGTAGTCTTCTAATGACATCTATTTAGTGTATTCTACAGAAGAAGGCCAAGTGTGGCCTGGTGGTTAGCATGCCGGATTATGAATCCGATAATTTGTTGTTCGCTTTCCGGTGCTGCACTTCGGAGCATTGGGTGTGTTATAAGAGCGACAGTAAATTCCCATTATTCGATTACAGCAGCCCAAGAATTGACGGTGGGTGCTATTGACTAGCTGCCTTCCCTCAAGTCTATTAGTACCAAACTATGGACGGCTAGGACTGTGAGGCTTTGCGCGAATATCCGAAACAACAAACAAAAACTACAGAGGATGTCTTCAATTTCAGATAATGTTTATGTAAGTTATGTACGTAAGACTTTTATGTGAAATGTATTGGAATTATTATTGTTTATTATCGGGTAATTACATAAATATAGTGCTACTGATTGTTTGTTCATGTTTTCAAGATTCGTGATTGTTTGGATTGTATGCAACTGCTACATAAAAAGCTTTTTTTTTGGATATCACACAGAAAAAAACTATTTTTTTGTTGTATTTTATATTACAAAATTATAATATTTAAATTATAGATTGGCTTCTTCTGAGTGTTACTTATATAAAACTAACTTATATTTGACCCTTACATCTGATATTTTACCATCACGGGCTAGTCAGCATGACCTCTTGCACCCCACATCTACATCCATTTGCTTCTCCTTATTAACAGTTGTTAATTTTGGACGTTAAAACATAATCTGGAACAAGCTTAGATTTGTTTATTTTTATTTTACTTAGTTTACTCTGCAATAATTAAAAAAATTACTATACACTCGACAAGTAAACAAATCTGTAAAAGGAGTCGAGCAGGTTTTATAACCTCACTCTTGCTTTATCAAATAAGAGGAATATATTATTTCACTATTAATTACAACTATATTCGTCAAAAGTTATATTTTATTCCTTTTTATTCCCCACCCCTCCCACATCCAAACTCAACTAATGATGCTTATATGTTTATTTCTTCTTCGAAGCTGACTTAAATCATCATATAGATAGCTTTTCAAGACACGCTAGGTCTTTAGCCTAATTATATTGATTTGTTCTTATTGTTTTGGCGAAGATGAAGAACACATATTTCTATATGCTCTTTGTCATATATTGTTATACATATACAGTATATGTTTGTCATTTTTGGATTTTGTCTTATATTGTTGTACATACGTGTTTGTAGTTTTTGGATTTTGTGTTTTAATGTATTTTAGAAATATTCTTAATGGTTCACGTATCTTGTAAATTTCAAACTAAGATAATATTAAACTGTAATGACTTTTAATCCTAATAAATATCAAAAATAAAAACTCTGTTATTAAGTGAAAAAAATCTACCATTTTTAAAGTCTCAGTGTAGGCAAATGGAATTATTGGTTGAATTTCATTAAACAGTATATTCAAAGTAAAGCAGCTGCTTTTAAAAAAGGTTGATCAACTTTCCTTATTTTGCGATACTACAAAAGTTTTCATGTTGGTTTACAATTTTTTTTATGTCTATATAAAACAAAAACGTTATGAAAATAAATCATTTTTCTCGAGAAAGATAAAACGTGAACATTCGAAACTCAAATAATAAAAGATGTTCATTGAAACATAATAAGATACATGATATTTTGTATGTCGTATAAAAATAAACCGTCCCCCGGTGGAACAGCGGTAATTCCACTTACAACGCTAAAATACGGGGTTCGGTTTGCGCTGGACACAGCAGATAGCCCAAAGTGGCATTGCTCGAAGACAAACAAACATATTAAACCACAGTTTCGGAACAAAATATTAGCATAAGGATTAGGAGAACAGATTCGAGATTTTCACGTATTCTCCTCAGTCCTGCATAGTGGTATATTTTTTATTATCTTTATACTTTAATTATTTGGGCTGCAACGTAATGAAGCACTTTTTAAAATTAAATGTGTACTATATTTCTATAAAATATGATATATTTTTGTTGTTTACACCGGTTTGTATATTTTTACATTATCTTATTTCCTAATTATGCAGGCTAATGCACATGCTTATACCGGTTTTTATATTTTATGTATATTTTTGCATTATTTTATTTCCTTGTTACACTGGCTAATTCACATGCTTATAACTTTTTTAACCTCTGTTTTTCCATTATATCTTCATGAATACTTATCATAAAGTTGCTTCAGATATATATATATATATATATATTTGTTTCCAGTAAAAAATTCTAAAATTTTGTCTTAAATGGAACTAAATATTGCAGAAGCAGTTATATATTACTGATGTATTTTATATTGTGAAATAAAACATTAACGTTTACTTATTGTTTGTCACTATTTTTATCTCGTGTAATTTCAACTTTAAGTTTGAGTTTTGAAATGTAAAATTATTCTTTCTCTAGAAAATTTCAGAGTGTAATATAAATATTCTCGAGCCCAAAAAGGTCCAATGGTTAACATGTCTTTGCTCTGAACCCGTATTCTGCACTTTGGGGAACACTTTAGGAATGACGGTCAAATGCTATTATTCGGTCAAATAATAACTGTCCAGTGGGTGCTGTTGACCAGCTTCTTTCGGTCTAGTTTCTCAGTTCAATGTCACAGATGGTTATACGCATATAGCCCTTTGTGTAGCTGTGCACAGAAATTCTAAAACAAACAAACAAGTATTGTGACTCCTATAAAACTATCACAGAAAAGGCTGTCAAACTGACTTTAATTTATATTTTCATTTTTCGAAGTCAAACAATGATATAGATAGATTTCTATAAAATTAACCGAAATAATCTTTAATTTTCATGAAGTTTTTAAATTCAGAACAATAAAGAAAAAACAAAGGTTCTAATTTTGTCAATACCATAGTAAACTTAAACTTTAATCGTATCAAAACGTCTTTATAAGATCACTTCTAACTATCAAAAGCAAAACAAAACATGGCTCTGTCACTATGAAAACAAGAAATTCACTGTACTTACGAGAAGCTGATATCATTTAGTAAGTAGGTCATGGATTGAACTTTTACTTTTTTATTTCGCAAACATAAATTTTCTAAATCAATAAAAACTATTTTTCTCCTAAGTAATCGTCGTTATCAGAATTTTTCATAATTGCAGTTTCTCTGGCCTTAATAGTGATTAACTAGTAAGAAAAGATAATTACCTTTTATTGATTTTATTCAAATTAATCTTTTATAAGTTCTCTCATTCTTACATGAGATGATTTAGAACTTGAAAATGTGAATAATTAATTCAAATGTCAAATACAGTATTAAATTGGGGGTCCTCGAAATCAGTTTTACATTACAGTTCATTGTCGATGTCTTCTGATACAATTTGAATAACGTGTGATGTTTTCTCCTACACTTCTTCCGTGAGATAGGGTTAAAGATTTAAATTATCTAGTTAACACATTAAACCCGACTTTTGCCTAGTTTTTGGTGATCTAGAAACAAAACTAGGAAATGTATGTCGTATCAAAGAGAGAGAAATACTTATTAATGTATGGCTAAAATGAACAGCAATAAAACGTATATTAAAGTATCCTATTAATTTCTTGTTCTGAATACGAATGACAGAGAAGCTTTAAGAAATATTAAAATTTAAAAGCATACAAGTTAACAAGTTTTCTATTCTTACCTTTACTTGTTCATCAGAAACGAATATAAGTCATGCCATTTTACATATAGATTAATATGACATTTCAGTTAGAAGAAAAGCTATGAAATTACGCTTCTTCCGTAATTACTAATGGTATCAGAGCCTATTGTTAAAACCGTAATTAGCTTTAACATGAATATACACCCTAGCTTTGAAATGCAGACTTCGTATTTAAAAGTATAATGATAACAGAAGAAATTTCAATTAACCAATACATAAAACAACTGTATATAAAACGCTGTTTTTGTTTTTACGAACCCAAGACCAGCTTGCGGTAAACAGTGATTATTGGTATGTTTATTACAGACAATATTTGAGTGGTATATTTAAAAGAGTTTTGATGAACAAGACGATGTAGAGACCATGTTTTACGCAGTGTTTGCCTCCCTAAATATATATTAATAGTTTAATCTGCAATATCAGAAACATGCCGTCAGCTGCAAGCAAAACTTGTAAAAACATTAAGACTTATAGGTTCAAACTGTACTCACAGCATCTGTTGATAATATTTTATAGAATGTAATGATATTTGATATCCATTTTTTCTATTTGATGGGTACAATAATATTAAGTATTTAATACGCTGGGTATTAAGTATAGGTATATAACTACTGGCATATCACTAAACTTTAATGGAATTATATCAAGAAATATAGATATGTTGTATTTGAGTAAGATATGTAAAATAATTTATTAAATAAAAAGAATACATATGACTTGCATGTATATATATATATATATATATGATTATTTTATATTCTAGCACCTTAAGTAATTCTCTGACGTAATTGTGAGTTTTTCACATATCTGATCGAATTTATGTAACAATATTTTTAGGTTACCAGGTGTACCTTTGTTAAAACGTTGAAATAAGTTCGAATAATCATAGCAAATAATTGATTTATTTACCTAATTTTAATTTTAATTTACCTAACTTCTATTTTATCAACATGTAATGGGATATTAATAATTTTTTAAATCATATAATGTTTTATCCTTATGAATAAACAAATGTTTAGTCAATTTTTGATATTCCATCCAAGATTTAATCGTGTTATTAACAGAAATGTTTCCAATTCAAGTGAAAAGTCGAGTGGACTATATTTAGATTGTTTTGAATGCAGACTACATCTGATAAGAAGGTATATTGTTTTATTCACTTATAAAACTATTTTGTTTAGATTAGCGAAGTATAATAAAACGTAACTATTTTTGATATCATAAAGGGAATGTTATACTCAAATATATTTTAGTTTGTTTTTTCAATGTTTTTAGGTGATTAGTTGTGACATTGTATAAGGGAACAACGTTGACAAAATCACTTTCTGCATACTGACAAATTACAGTTTTTCTTCTGAAAAATAAAACACTAATACTTGACAAAGATATAGTGTACAAAATCAACTAAAACAAAACACAGAGTAGATTTTACCCACATTTTACAATAACTTTAACTTTCATAATGAAGCACTTAATGGAATAGCCTTCTATTATAGTCGGTGTATTTTTATACGTAGTTCTAGGAGGAACTTAAGTAAGGACAAGTGAACTTCATGAAAAGTTAACATAGCTTTAACATTTTGTAACTTGATGAGAAGATATCATAATTTTAAGATGTCATAATTGATGAGAATTAATATATTTCTAAAATCTTATAACTTGATGAAAAATAAATATATTTTTAAAATGCTATAATTTGATGAGAAGTAGCATAATTTTAAAATGTTATAACTTGGTGAAAATTAATATATTTTTAAAATGCTATAATTTGATGAGAAATTAATGTATTCTTAAAATGTTATAACTTGATGAGAAATTAGTATATTTTTAAAATGTTATAACTTGGTGAAAAGTTAGCATAATTTTAAAATGTTATAACTTAATGAGATATTAATATATTTTTAAAATGTTATAACTTCTATTCATAAGTATACTAAAAATCCAATCCAAAAGCTGTTTCAGTTACAGACTGTGAAAAAGGTCATGTTGTAAAAAGCTATTTCTGTTACACATTGTAAAAAAGGTCGTAGTAACAAGCTGTTTCAGTTACAGATTGTAAAAAAGGCCGTAGTAAAAAGCTGTTTCAGTTACAGATTTGAAAAAGGTCACGTTGTAAAAGAGCTGTTTCAGTTACAGATTGTAAAAAAAAAGGTCGTAATAAAAGGCTGTTTCAGTTACATATTGTAAAAAGGTCACATTCTAAAGCTGTTTATATTACAGATTGTAAAAGAGGTCGTAGTAAAAAGCTGTTTCAGTTACAAATTGTAAAAAAGGTTACGTTGTAAAAAGCTGTTTCAGTTACAGATTGTAAAAACTTTAGTCACTTAAATAGAATGTAATGTGGTCTAATCTTTAGAAATACTTTTATTTTATATATTTGTAGGACCTGAGATCTTCCTCTTGTTATGATGTATTTTACCCTCTCCAAATTATAGTTTGTAACTCAGTTTTGCTTTTCTGTATTTCTTTATTACCTGTAGTTGATAATTCATTTGGCAAAGTGAGCTTATAAGAGTGCTACTGTTTAAATTTAAAATATAACCGAAATAATTCCTAGCCTTTGCGATGGTGTCAGATTAAAATCTCGTTAAAAGTAGAATACGTTTCTTACCTAGATGCAATAAAAAAATGCTTAAATTATAAATACGTTTATTACACGTATTTTTTATTAGATTTGTAAATGTGCTATATATGAATATGTCGGAAAAATAATAATCTACTGTGGCCTGTCTAGAAATAATTAATGATATTTTAAATAATTGATCCACCTGGGCCACACAAAGTTTCAAAATGTCTTTCGAGATTTTATTGAAAACTAGTAATTGTTATTTTCAACCATCAATATAATTTTCTTAGGCTCAGTAAAGTGGATAACCAAAGTGACTCTTTCTATCTTTCTACAGAGGGAGAAAAAGAACGAGAAATTTATTGAAATGTGTTTATGCTTTCTGCTCACGTATTCGATAGACTTTTAACATGTTTCTTAGCTCCGTTACTGGATAGCTTGTTTTAACACTGAATAGTTTACATTTATATCAAAGGAATTTTCTGTGGAGTCAAAACCTTAATTAAAGGATGTTTTGGAAGTAAGACAGAGCAGGGTTAATATTAACAGTTATAAGTATCATGCAAATCTTTAGTATGTAGTAACGTAAACAAAAATTCGGAATATTGAATAGTGAATTCAAAATTTGTCTTACAGAAAATCAAGAAAATTAAACCAATTACTGTCACCTGGTTGCGCAACATATGAAAAAAATTACGAAATGCATTTCATGACTTCTGTAGAAACGAAATAAATATTTAAAACAAGTTCATGTAAGTTGAACTTGAACCCAACACATTTAGGGTTAAGTTTAAACTAACAAGTATAATGTTATTTATTATATTTAGCGTTTCCTATTTTATATATTTTCTTACCTCTTATCCACATTTTGAAGGCACAAATTTTGCTAGTATACATCAAGTTACCTGTGTTGTAAGAAAGTATTAGCTAAATAACTGAGTTGAGTGCTGCCACCTAGGGTGAAACATTGAAATAATTATGTTTTGATATTCTAAGGAAAAGAAATACACTAGCTCTTGAACATCTCCGTATTGTTAGTTTTCTACTTGTTTTGCGAACAGTTCAGACATATGTTAATTTGTGCTTTTATTAGTGTAACAGCATGTATGATATAATACGTCACTGCATGAAAATTTGAAGCTTTGAATTAATTATTGCTTATTCAACTTTCGGTAATGAGTTAGATTAAAACAAATGAAAAATGTAGATATCTTTTTTAACCTTATCTTCACATATATCACACTACTGGATTTACATACGCTATAAATAATTTGTAAAATGGGTGGTAGGCTTAGATACCTTAACTCAAAATACGAGGCTGTGTTAAAGGGCTATAGCTAACAATAAGTTGATAAACAACGATTTATAAGCATAATAAAGTGATATATTTTTGGGGCAACATACTACCGTATTGCCCCCAATTAAGCCCCTCTTTAATTATCGCCCCCTCCGGTGTTTTATAAAGCTTACCTTGTGTGACAGCAATATTAATCTAACATATAATCCACTTTTATTACCGCAATTTTTATTTGAAAAAAAAGCAAAGGAAAAAAAACACTTATTAGCATTGAAATCAACAAATCACATGTGAAGAATAGAATCCGGAACTGCAGAAATATTATAATTAGCGCACTCACCTTTGCAGTTTGCAACGCCCCAAAAGGCGTTAATTAGGGACAATATGCACATGTTTTGACTGAACATTGGTCTGTCTTCTTCTGGTATGACGAACCAAAAATGACCATTGTTCTGTCGAAACAGGTATCATGTTCTTCCGAAAACAAATCACTTTATTATGATTATAAATTGTTGTTTACCATCTTATCATAATATTAGCATAATGTTTTTTACTCTAGTATGACTATAGATAACACTACACGATTCACAACCATAATGCTTTTATTACGTCGACAGTAATCAATTGATAAGTAATAAGACAATATCAAATCTATAAAGAGTTCACAAAACTCATTGTTACTTCTGCTAACGTTGATACTTATAGTTCATTAGAATCACACAAACCGTTTAACAGCTCATACAAAACACCAATAATGTATTATGAAATTTCATAGGCGATAAAAACAGTTGAGAATAGAAGCTTTTGTTAAACCTTCCAAAAATCATTTTTCTGTGTTTATATTTATCGCATTTTATAAATAAAGTGTAAATTCTATTGTTAACTATCTTTATATTTCAACAATAAATGTGCGTCGTTAAAGATGTTTATTTGAGAACAGAAAAATCACACTTATATACACATATGTATATATATTTAAACATAATAGCATATATATGAATACTGATCTGGAAAACTATTTAATACATATATAAAAAAATCCTTAAAACCAGGTCGTTTAATCTGATTGAAATGTCACCATGAAAAACACTTAAGCACCAAACTCAAAATGGCATAATTCACAGCACAATTTGCTCCCTTACAAAATTACACAATACAACGAAGATATCATATTTTAGAATAACAATACATGAAATATCTGATACAAAAATCCATTAAAAAAGGGAAACTAATGACTTAATTTGACTTAGATAAGCCAGTAAACTGTAATGTTTGAATTATTAACAGATATTTTTTTATAGTTTATGAATACTTTTATTCTTAGCTGAATAGATAAAATAATAATGTGACTTTGTATAAAAACAAAATTGAAGACATTTCAATAACATCTGAGCAAATTTCAAAATTCGGCTTTCTGGTATGAGTCATTTTCAAATTTAAACGACTTTTAAACGTCGTAGCATGAATAATTATATCAAAGTTACATTTACAAATTTGTGCACAAATCACTTTACTGAATACCACTCACTAACAATAGAATGAGTTCATATAAACATATAATAATCACATATATACTGATTAACATATTATTACTCTCAAGTACATGACGTTACAAACAATGCCTTCATAAACAAGACAATTCTAAATGGAAAATTACTTTTGTAGATAAAAACATGCAACAAGAATAAAACATCAGACGGGCTTTCACGTTTTGTTGTTAGCATTATAAGTTAGTATATAAAATAATAATATATTTTCGTTTTGAGTTTACTTACTGATTATAACCTTTTTTATTATTACAAGTTACAGCTTTCACAATGAGGTAGAATATTTTTTTTAAAAACAGGTACGACGTTTCTATCAGTAGTGCGATCATTCTCAAGTACCAAAGTTTTAACGATCAAGAAGGTTTTGTACAATAGAACAATGACAAATTTAAATACACTGTTAGATTATTGAATGTTGATTTAATTACAAAAACCGTTACAGCCTGTGTACTTGAGGATGATCGAAACGTCTTGCCTGTTTTAAAAGATATTCTTCCTTCATGTAAAAGCTGTAATTTCTAATAAAAAATAATATATTTGTATCCCATGACAGCCTATTGTGTAGTAACTTATATACACAATAATATATTTGTATCCCATGACAGCCTGTTCTGTAGTAACTTATATACACAATAATATTTAAGATTACAATTGTTATACGTATTTTCATTGGTATCGCGACGACTAGTTTTTTTCTATTGTAATCTGTTCATATATTAACGGTAACACTAGTTTGAAGTCTACGTGTGTTCTGGTGGTTAAAGCTGGAGTGGGGTGCATACCGGTGAAAAAACTGGCGGACCAGCAAAAAACACTAACAAAATAACCTGCAAGCTATATTGATGCAAAACAGTTTATTCACACATCTTGTGTTTTCAGTTAGCACAATCTACAAATATGCTACGAATTTTCTTTATCAAGACGTTCCTTACATAAAGGACAAAGAAGAAAAAAAAAAAACCCGGCATCGGGTAAAATTCAAAAGAAATATATTTAGCATTAGCAACCAACATGACCTTCCCCCATCAAAAAAAAGTGCATACCGACATCTTTTTAACCATTTTAAACAATAACTGTTCTTATGTTGTTCATTTTTTAAAGCCTGGAGACCAAATGGAATTGAATTCAAATATGTGACAGGAGACTGATATTGAATAAAATATATCAACTTAAAAAAAGGGGTGGGGCACTGTGAATTATATCGGGTTATTACTCAGAGACAGAGAGTTTAGAGCAAACCCCACAGTAAATAAATTCGTTTTGTGAAACCATCGTAAAATGGGGGGTATATCCAAACTACCGACCCCAGTTGAAACGTAACTTCTAGCATGTTAATTCTGTTGTTTAATATAATAATATCCATAGTTGAAACGTAACTTCAAGCATGTTAATTCTATTTTTTAATATAATAATATTCATAGTTGAAACGTAACTTCAAGCATGTTAATTCTATTTTTTAATATAATAATATTCATAGTTGAAACGTAACTTCAAGCATGTTAATTCTATTTTTCAATATAATAATATTCATAGTTAAAACGTAACTTCAAGCATGTTAATTCTATTTTTCAATATAATAATATTCATAGTTGAAA